TTAGTGATCACATGTTTGTGTCCCGTTAGATCCTGTGTCTGCAGGAGGTCCAGGAGGACCACTTCCAGAACCAGATCAAACCGGCTCTGCAGGCTTCAGGTGCTTTTGGTTTGTTATGTTTGAGACTAAAACGTCTCTGTGTGTGTGTGCGTGTGTGTGTGTTATTGAGTGTACGTGTTAATGAGGGTGTGTGTGTGTGTGTTTTAGGTTATCAGTGTGAGTTTAAGAAGCGGACCGGACTGAAACCGGACGGTTGTGCCGTGATCTTTAAATCCTCCCGCTTCTCCCTCCTCTCCTCGACTCCCGTGGAGTTCTTCCGACCAGGCGACTCGCTGCTGGACCGGGACAACGTGGGTCTGGTCGTGCTCCTGCAGCCCAACAACGGCGGCGCCCAGCCCGATCCTGCCTCGTCAATCTGTGTCGCCAACACGCACCTCCTCTACAACCCGCGCCGCGGCGACATCAAGCTGGCCCAGCTGGCCATCCTATTGGCTGAGATCGAACAGATGTCCCGCCTCCCTGACGGGTCCACCTGCCCGGTTCTGCTCTGTGGGGATTTTAACTCGGTACCGTGGAGTCCGCTGTACCAGTTCCTGACCACCGGCTGCCTGAAATACCGAGGGATGCAGATCGGCTCGGTGAGGCGGCTGCAGAATTTACTGATGTGTGTTTTTGTATCTGGGTCTTTAGATGAAGAAGCTGTTGTTGTTTGTGCAGGTGTCGGGTCAGGAGGCCACTCCCAAAGGGCAGCGCCTCCTCACGTCTCCAATCTGGTCCCAAAGTTTAGGAATCACTCATCAGTGTCGATACGAGAGCCGGCAGAGCGAGGAGTCCTGCGCCGCCAGCCCCACAGGTGAGCCTCACCTGCAGCCTGTCTCCCACTTCAGACACTGCTGTGTTTGACTCTCGCCTGTCTGTCTGTCTGTCTGTCTGTCAGCCGTGGAGGGAGGGATCTCTAATCTGACCGTGGAAGACCCCGCTAACAAAGCTGCAGCTGCTTTTAACAGGTAACGTCTAAAAACACAGAAACCCACTTCCTGAGTTCTGGTCCTGAATCTTATCTGATCAGGAACGTTTTAATCAACTTTAAACTTCATCACAAAATACCGACATATGTTTATTTGTGACTTGGGTTTGATATTTTTGTAGGAATGTCTTGAAAAGGTGTTTAAATTTACCTTCAGATCCATTCATGTGCCACGTTGCATCAAAAAGGATAAAACGACCCCGGTTTTTGTGTTTTAACACATGAAAAACCCTCAGAGTCTTTAGCTGTTAACCAGTCCTCTCTCACACGCATACACACACACACACACACACACACACAACTGTTTTTTGCAGCTTGAGGATTGAACACAGCCTGAACCTTCAGTCGTCCCATCTGCACCGCCTGATGCCCGACGGCCGACTGGAGATCACCACGTGTCACTCCCGCACCGCCCTGACGGTGGATTACATCTTCTACAGCCCAGGTACACACACACACACACACACACACACACACACACACACACGTCATAAAGGATTTAAACCATCCCTCTGAGAGATTTAATCATTTCCTGCAATGGTTTTTATTTCTGTCACAGTTTCGGTCTCGTTTTCTGCTCTCTGAAACATTTCACTGCACCAGGTTCACTTCCTCATGGGCGGGGCCTCCAGCTGCTGGGAAGGCTGTCACTGGTTGGCCATTCGGAGCTGAAGCAGGTCAACTTTCTGCCCAATCAGCACCACTCATCTGATCATCTTCCCCTCCTCGCCAGCTTCTGCCTCCACAGTTAGCCGTGATGCTAACGGCCGAGCAACAGGTGGATTCGGTGAACTCTCTCTCTCTTTCTCTCTCTCTCTCGCTCACTTGCTCACATTAAACACCGACTGGGCATAAAAGTTTGTTTTAGCTTTAATAACCATCTGGGCTGGATCTGAATCGGTTTGAGATCCAATCAAAGAAAAGCGAAAAGCTTGAATGTGCTCCAACTAAACCAGCATAAAATTTAACCAAATGTTGGAAAAAGTTGTTTTAAATAGATTTTACTAAACTTTCTTGTTTTCACTTTTAAACAGAAACAAATGTGCAGACATGATTCTCAGAGGGTTTTATGCAGCGAAACGTTTTTCTGTCACTTCACAGAAATTCTGTTTATCATAAAAACAAAAGCAAATCCGACTCGTTTTGGTTATTTTTCATCTTTAGGCATCATAAATAACAAGTTAGCCGTTTATTGGTTAAAGTCTCTCCTGCTGTTTCCTTCACCCATCAGTCATGGAGCTGAAACTAAGAAGATTTATCTGAATTAAACTCTTGTACACAAGAAATAATTTACAAAATAAAATCATTTGTACAAAACAAAGCTTTGCAGAGATGTTCAGTTTCTACGCTCTGGAACCGGTCAGTTGTTTGTTTAGTTTTTTAATAAAAATTTTTTTTATAAATTTTGTTTGTGTCTTTTCTAAAGTCGATTGAGGAGCATAAAAATAGTGAGTGAGTGACAAAGCCTTTATTAACACCTTAAGACTTCAAAATCTTACATTTATTGAGGGTTTGAGTGATAGTTATTGCCGCCTGATGGAAACGAGTAAAACCTACAATTTCAGTCTGACTGATGTAAAGCCCCAGAATAGAATATTAAAAAATAAATGTATGCTAATATTTAGCATTATTAGAAAAATCTAGCTTACACGAGAGTCAGTTGCACTAAAATATGTTGAAGGAGGAAGGTGTTATTCACTGATCATCATATTAAATGAAGTAAGAGAAACATCTTTTTTTGAAAAGCTGAAAAAAATGAAATCACACTACATTAGCACAGCCAAAGTGACAAAAACACACTTGCCTAAAGAAATAAATAGAAAATATGTGAGGTTTGTTGAGGTTAAATATAAGAAAATTTCCACACATATATATAGATATATATATGTATGTAGATATAGATATATATGTATATATATATGTATATATATGTATGTAGATATATATATATATATATATATATATATATATATATATATGTATGTAGATATAGATATATATGTATATATATATGTATATATATAGATATATATATATATATATATTAGAGATTGCTCTGGTGCTTGGCGCAGTGGGCTAGGGGTCAGGGAGATTGAGAGGAGGTTACGGTTGGGCCCTACCCGTCTACCACCGGGTTTGATTCCCGACCAGGGCGTGCTATTTTTAGCTCTTTTTACCTTGCTTTTATCTCAGTTCAAATGTGCCCAGCTGGAAAAATGCATTTTCTATCACTTTTTATTACAATATTTTAAATCTATATGCCTTCTTGGGAAGGTACTGGCTGTGAAAATCAGGCTGTAAAGGACTGTTTATACGTTACGACAACAGCAACTTTATCTTAGTTTATGTCACATACATATGAATGTGCTTCTTTATGTTGTGGTAAGATCGTTCTACTTCACTCGTATTTGTTAATGAAGGTATTGATAAATCTTTAAACGTGTTTTAACACTAGAACTACCTTGGCTCTACCGGAGTAGCCAAATAGCTCCTTGGTTTGAAAATCACAACTTGTCACTGCCAGTTAGCTGCCTTTCATTTGTAAATGAATGTGGAGGTTGGCCTCATTTTGTTTGCCTCTTTAGCCCTGGTAGAAAATGACCCACAAGCCCTTTTTACAAGAGACTGTGCCGGCAAATCTGCGTAACATTACCACTACAGTGTGTTTTATAAACACAGCGTTGTGCGAATTTTGCTGCATTAGTTGCGCCTCGCTTGGTAGTAATATTGCAGTAATTGTCTGTCCTATAAACAGCGATTGTGCCCTGGCACAACAGAGGAAGATGTCAAATAACGTAGCAAATGTGCGGTGACCCCCGACCGGAAAGAATAAATAAACTACGTAAACATGGGAAAGTTGGTAAACAACCAGCGGACATGGCTAGTTGAAGTGACGAGATCTGTGAAGTTCTGTCTTCACGAGCAGAGGCAGAAGTAGCCAGACCATTCTCAGGAACTGTGACGGACAGTCACCTCTTTAAGGTGTTTTCAGACTTTATGTGGATTCTTCACATTAAATACTCTAAAATACATCTTGTATGTGTCTGCTAGAGTAGCTCAGGGGGTAAAACACTGGGCAGGTGTGCAGAAGGATCGGGGTTCAGTTCCAAGACAGTTTTCATCTTTTAAACTTAAACTTGGATTCTTCACAACATGAAATGTTTGAAAATGCATCATGTCAGAGTCTGCTAGAATAGCTCAGTCTGTTAAAGCATCAGGCTGATGAGCAGGAGGTGCAGGGTTCAACCACAGGAGTTTGCAAGATGTGTAACTCACACTGCAGAAATTGGTAATTTGAACTACAGACACAGTAAGGAAATAGTTACCATGAGTAGAAATATGTAGGTAGAAAGTTAAGGAGATTAGATAGTTAGTGGAGTAAGTATGAAGATAGGTCCAGCTAGATATGTAGGTAGTGAAGTAGGTCAATAGATAAGTAGGTAGGTGGATCTTAGTGAGTGAAATTCTGTGACAAAGAGAAGAGGCCTCCAAAAGGTGGAGCATTGAATACATCTAAGAATTTTATTTTACTTACTGATTGAGATGTTATTCTGCTGCACTATCTTCCAAGGCTCCCCCTAGAACGTAATGGTGGTGATGTATCTTCACTGCTTTATCTTTAGGAGGTCTTCCTCTCAGCTGTAACTTTAGGGTCTCATCTCTGCTCACCTGTCTGAGCCTCAGTCACTGTGCTTTTATAGTGATCTACCTACCAACCTGTTGTTCTACTTTACTACAGTTTGACTTATCTAGTTATCTACCTACCTAATCTCCATATCTCTCCTTATCTTTCTAACTACATATTTCTACTGTGTAGTTTTAATTACTAATTTCTGCAGTGTGAGTTACACATCTTGCAAACTCCTGTGGTTGAACCCTGCACCTCCTGCTCATCAGCCTGATGCTTTAACAGACTGAGCTATTCTAGCAGACTCTGACATGATGCATTTGCAAACATTTCATGTTGTGAAGAATCCAAGTGTAAGTTTAAAAGACGGAGACTCTTGGGATTGAAACCCGATTCTTGACCATACCAACCCAGTGTTTTATCCTTTGAGCTACTCTAGCAAACACATACAAGATGTATTTTAGAGTATTTGATGCGAATAATTCACATGAAGCCTGAAAACTAAACCGCGTTGCCAAGAATTGAACCCAGAACTTTCAGGTCATCAGCCTAACTCTTCACAGACTGAGCTCTTGCAGCAGTCTCTGATAATTTGTGTTTTACAGCATTTAATGTTGTGAAGAATTCTCATGTAGTCTAAGAGTTAAAGTGACTCCTGGGATTGATGCTTGCTCCTTCGACACAGACCCCCCCAAGACTTTAACCACTGAGCTACTCCAGAAGACGCTGCTGTTGAAAGAAATCATTTCAATCCTGGAAAACCCTCCTTTAATCACCATGAATGCCTCATTCTTAATGACTGGATCCCAATCCACCCATCACAATTTACAAATGTGCTTCATGTCAGGTGTTATGGCAGAACAGATGCCAACAAGGGGTTGATAACGTGGGTGGCACTGCATGTTCCTGTATTCTAGAAGCCTGATGAAAGCAGGCTGGACCTTTAATTTGTGTATTTTTAACAAGTAGCTTGCTTAAATGACAAGAAAAACATCTACTTCACATTTAAGTGCCACACGCACACACACACACACACACACCGTCTGTAGGGAGCCTAAATCATGCCCATCTACTTCCAGACCAGTGGTACATGGCTACATTTCCTCTACCTACTGCACTAAAGGGGTGGAGTCAGGCTTTCACCAGGTGTCAGATTGGCCAATCATGTTGGTTATTGATTTTGTTTATTAGAAAGCACAGAGTTTTTTAATTTTTTGGTTAAGTTAAATTTAGCTGCAGAGGAGCCACTGCTGAAGGAGAACCGTCGCTTTGTTATCCTTCCCATCCAGTACCAGGACCTCTGGCAGATGTACAAGCAGGCAGAAGCTTCGTTCTGGACGGCAGAGGTGGTGAGTAGGAGCTCAGGTGTTACGTGCAAAGAGTTTTTGCTGGCAGTTTTTATAGCTGTTTTCTTTTCCAGGTTCAAGTTGCCTGATACACTGAGGTGAACCTTCCCTTTTTGTCGGTGATTGGCTGCTGTGTACCTGGTTGCCCAATCAGCTGTGGAGCTTTAAATAGCCTACACCTGGTAGACACGGTGGCCATTTTGTTCTGATCCTGCCTTTGAGCTCAGAGTTTTTTTGTCCCTGCTGTCTAGTTGTGAAGTTGAAGCTGAAGTCCTTTTAAAGCTGGTTGCCAGGTATGTGGTGGGAAGGTTGTGGACCAGGTAAGATGGGGTACCCTGTACATCTGCACACGTAGTATCTGGATGTCGAAAAACACTAGGTAAGCGTGGGTAGTACCTCTCTTGTACTGGTTTTAGAACACCATTTTTGTAGATAAGTAAGTTAGGGTTTTCTTTCTCTTTTTTTTCTCGGGATTAAGAGTTCAGTTAGGGTGTGTTTTGTTTTATTTATTTCATTTATTTGGTCAACCCACAGGTCCCTACTTTTCCCCCACATTTGTTTTTTATTATCTTCAGCAAATAAACTTTTTTTGCTCTTTAGCAGAACGGCCTCCTCCATTATTGTGACTGTCATGTTGCTTCCCCCACACCCTAGACTGGGGGGGAACGTAACATCAGGTCTTCAAGCTAATTTAAGAGGTCTGAAAGTTTTGTAGTTGTCTACTCAGATGTGATTAATAAGAAAAACCAGATATAATAACACAACTTTGACAAACTCAGACCGATGCGTCTTTGTGATCCAAGTATATGAGGTATGACGCAGCATTTGTGAGTGGCGTGACAAAAGCATTTACTGGGTTTGGTTATTGTTGGAGCCTTTAGATGGTCTCTCAGTGTCGTGTCCCATTAGTTGTCCCCGTCTTAGGGTGGACACCCACTAGGCCACTGAGCTGCATTACTGACATAGAAGGACTTTTGCACCAGATTCTAGTTTTTACTGTTTCAGCTGTAGTCCAGCTACATTTCTGTCAGTCTTACGCTACAGTAACCAATCAGCTGACAGATGTGGTTGTGTTACATTATGAAGTGTTGTAGTCAGGTATGTCCTGCAAAAATGACCTTTCATGAAAACCGACAAACGACCTACTCTTTTTCTTGTTAAAGCCGTCTTGCTACCCATCCATCCATTTTCATCCGCTTATCGAAAGTCGGGTCATGGGGGCAGTAGCCTAAGTCGAGAGGCCCAGACTTCCCTCTCCCCAGCCACTTGGGCCAGCTCCTCCGGGGAAATCCCAAGGCATTGCCTGGCCAGGTGAGAGACATAGTCCCTCCACCGTGTCCTGGTTAGACGTGCCCGGAAAACCTCACAAGGGAAGCGTCCAGGTGGCATCCTGACCAGACGCCCGAGCCACCTCAACTGGCTCCTCTCGATGTGGAGGAGCAGCGGGTCTACTTCGAACCCCTCCCGGATAACCGAGCTTCTCACCCTATCTCTAAGAGAGAGCCTAGCCACTCTTCAGAGAAAACTCATTTCGGCCGCCGCTAGTATCCGCGATCTCGTTCTTTCGGTCACTACCCAAAGCTCATGACCATAGGTGAGGGTAGGAACGTAGATCGACCGGTAAATCGAGAGCTTCGCCTTCTGACTCAGCTCTCTCTTCACCACGACAGACCGGTACAACACCCGCATCACTGCAGTTGCAACACCAATCCGCCTATCGATCTCACGCTCCAGTTTTCCCTCACTCATGAACAAGACCCCGAGATACTTAAACTCCTCCACTTGGAGCAGGACCTCATCCCTGACCCGGAGAAGGCATTCTACCCTTTTCCGAATCAAGACCATGGTCTCGGATTTAGAGGAGCTGATTCTCACCCCAGCTGCTTCACACTCTGCTGCAAACTGCTCCAGCAAAAGCTGAAGATCATGTTCTGATGAAGCCAACAGGACCACATCATCTGCAAAAAGCAGAGACCTGATCCTCAGGCCACCAAAACGGATGCCCTCCACACCTTGGCTGCACCTAGAAATCCTGTCCATAAAGGTTATGAACAGAATCGGTGACAAAGGGCAGCCTTGGCGGAGTCCAACTCTCACTGGGAATGAGCCCGACTTACTATCGGCAATGCGGACCAAGCTCTGACACCGATCATACGGGAACCTAACAGCCCGTATCAGAGGGCCTGGTACCCCATACTCCAGGAGTACCCCCACAGGGCCCCCCGAGGGACGCGGTCAAACGCCTTCTCCAAATCCACAAAACACATGTAGACTGGTTGGGCAAATTCCCACGCACCCTCCAGGATCCCCCTAAGGGTATAGAGCTGGTCCAGTGTTCCACGGCCAGGACGAAAACCACATTGTTCCTCCTGAATCTGCAGTTCTACAATCCGACGGACCCTCCTCTCCAGAACGCCTGAATAGACCTTACCAGGAAGGTTCAGGAGTGTGATCCCCCTGTAGTTGGAACAAACCCTGCGGTACCCCTTTTTAAATAAGGGGACCACCACCCCGGTCTGCCAGTCCAGTGAGACTGTCCCCGATGTCCACGCAATATTGCAGAGCCGCGTCAGCCAACACAGCCCCACAACATCCAGAGCCTTAAGGAACTCTGGGCAGATCTCATCCACCCCTGGAGCCTTGCCACAGAGGAGCTTTTTAACCACCTCTGTGACCTCAGCACCAGAGATTTGAGAGGCCAACCCAAAGTCCCCAGACTCTGCTTCCTCACTGGAAGACATGTCGGTGGGTTTGAGGAGGTCTTCGATGTATTCTGCCCACCGATCCGTCATGGTAGCACCGTCTTGCTACCATTTGTGACAAAAAAAATAAATAAACCCCAAGGTGAAAAACATAAATTTATTTAATATTTAAGAGCACATGCTGCTACGGTTGATAGAAACAGCCGTTATCAGACAGTTGCAACAGTAGCCCTGTAACAGCAGGAGGGGAATCACGACAGGAATCGCAAACAGACTCGGTAAAACTACTCAAACAGGTTCCTTCGGATTTCTACACACATGCAAACGTTTGCTCATCAAACTGAAAGATTAGGAAAATTTGCTCTGTTTGTGCTTTGCAGCACTGTTTTCAAAAGCAGACTAAAAAAGCATATCAGAGCAAATATATGGAAACAACCAAAAAGACGCACTTCCGTTGAGTAAAACAGTCACATGTGAAGGAACAGGCTCTAAGGCTCCGCTCTGGTTGGCTGAAACTTTCACTCTGTCTTTATGTTTACTGATGTTATTATTAGGTGCTTTTTTTGGTCTTAAAGGGTCTTTTTCAGTTGTTTTTGGGTAGAAGCTCTAAATAATGACACTTTTACCTGCCATAGAACTTTTAATTTCACTGATTAAATTTTTCTTGCATCTTAGTTGATTCATGGCTTCATCTTGTCCCCTAACCCAACCATTGCAGTAAAAGGAAATGAAATTATTTCCAGGAAGTTTGAGGAAATAAACGTTGGGTCCTTTAGGACAGATAAGCTAACGGCTAATTGGCTCCAACGGGTATAACGGTCATTATTCGTCGCTTCCACACAGAAACACTAACTTAGCCAGATTATCCCTTTAGGTTTTACAACAAATTAACAGAAACTATGGGACTAGTGGAGGCTTTAAAGAAAAAGCCAAGATCTGGAACATAAAACAGTGCCTCAGACATGCGTGACCTTCAGGGTTTCCTTGGAAAGCACATCAGAACAAACCTCAGAGAAACAAACTCATTACAATCATAAAGCACTAAACTTCAGCCAAACCAAAGAAACATTCAGTGAAGAAAAAACTGTCGAGCACAAAGCATCTGCTACTGTTATCATCCTAATTTGTGAATCATGAAAAGTAAAGCAGATGCATGAAAAACGCACCGTTTCTTTGTGTCGTACAAACGGCGAGCAGCTTTGTGCTTTTGCTCACAGACATCTGGATCTGGTTGATGATACCTGTTGAGTATCAGTCAACAGAACTCCGGTTGGACCTAAACACGGTTGGGAGGACTTCTGCTGAATGGGCGGTGGTGTCCATCCAAGGAAGACGAGGATTTTAGCTCAGTTTGCTTCAGCCGTCATCGGCTCTGTCCACGCGTGTGCATAGCTCGTTGTTGAAGCTAGAAAAGGTTTCTGTTGGCGACCAAACGCACGTCGCCTGACGGAGACGAGGCGAGTCACCCAAAGAAAAGAGATGAAACAATCAGACGATGCTGAGGGGGAAAGATCAGGGTAGGAAATAAAAAATGGTGCTTTGATCCAGCTGCTGTAAAGGTTTACATTAGATTTACTCATTGGGCCCAAAATAAAATAACATCAGCTCGTCCAAAAACAGCTGATTAGGGTCAGAGTACCGGGTTGGTTCGACCCGCTTCATCTCAGAATCGTTCTCTACCAGGTCTGTTTGACCATCTCGGTCTAGATCATCGACGATCGCCTGGTGGTGTACTCCAGATCTACATCCGATCACACGTAAAGACGGTGGGGACAGAAAACTTTTGAACTGCCAATCTGGGCCCTTGAGATACAGACTTGTAAATAAACTTTTAGTTTTACAAAAACCAAAATAACGTTCTTCTGCAGGCCTCAAACACATACAAATCTTAACATTTTGGCAAAATCGATCCTGTTGACTGTGTTCGAAAACACCATTTTCAGGTAAACCATACAAGTCCGTTTTTATTCCGAGTGTAGAACATCCTCAGCAGCGTGGCCCAGAGCTGGTCTGGGCTCAGCGACCGACTCGTACAGCTAGCTGAATCCACGAACACGTAAAACTCAACCTTTAGCATGTTTGTTGGCTAAACTCATCCATGAAGAAATGAATTCAGGCTTCTTAGCTGTGATTCATCAAAGGCCTCAAACAGGAGAATCCAAACATCCGGTCCGACGTAGGCGAGGCGGGACGGGACGGTTTGGACGATCCTTCTGATGAAGTCCCACGTACGAGTGTGGGACAGTTCTACAGTGCTGAGCGAACTCTTTCAGGTGATTCTTACCTGTGTAGTTACGTAATTCTCACTGAAACCACCAAGATTCTTCCGGAATGGAGGAAACCGTTAAACCCTTCTGTGTCGTCTGTATCACTCCACCTTCTTCTGCCTCATCCTTAACCAGCATGTTGGAAAACGGACATGAATGAGTGAAAACTGCTGGTTCTTTGCTGCTGTTGCTCTTAGAATATTAAGAGATTGTATATTCAGTAAAATTTTGTAAACAATCCAATATTTTTGTTCTTCCTGCCTCACACACTCCACCTTAAACCTCCTGCTGCCCAGTCGTGTTCACACACTCACACCCCGGATTCACAGATACAGGATCAGCAGAGGGAAAGTCACTCTTCCTGTGGCCCACTTGAGTCAGAGCCACGTTTGGGGTCCGTGTGTGTGTGTGTGTGTGTCCGTGTGTGTGTGTGTGTGACATCAGATGCGGATCTGGTAGCCATCGCTGAGGGTGCTGAGCTCTGGAGGCTTCCTCTCCACGGGGGCCGGCCTGAAACAAAGCAGACAGATGCTGAACAATGATGCATGCTGGGAAACGTAGTAGCAGCTACTTGTGTTCTACTGCAGAACTGAACAGTCTCCAAGCAGAGCTCCTGAAGACATTCAGGACTTTTTAAATGCTTAACAGCAAATTAGTTCCTTCTTTAATCAACATGAGTCTTTGACCTCTGACCTCTTGCAGCTCCTCACTTCTGTCTGGTCTGCAGACATCAGCACTCTAAGGGGGACATAAATCAAAAATCCAACCCCAAGTGCCGGGATGAATCTCTGATTTGTGCCTCTAAAGTCTCGGTTTCAGATGCCGTTGTGGTGTTGGCGACGCCTCGGAGGTCGGCTGCAGCAGCAGATGACCGTCTCTGCTGGAGTCGCTGCTCTGATGTGGTGACATATTGTTGAGCGGGTAAGTGCTCTGTTGATGGCAGTAATAGCTTTCTAAGCATCACCCTTAAGTGCTGATGTGCTGCTCTGAAACAGTTGGAGTTAACTCAGCAAACCCAATTCAAAACAAGATCTTCTCCATTTTTCTCTTAATGACGAGGCTCCTGGAGATCGCCAAAAAATACAGGAAGTCACAAACGACGTGTTTCCACTGTCTGGAATTCAGGGTGAATTCTGGGAGGGGAGACACGATGTCCCTGTCCTCTCAGCTGCGTCTCCCTGCAGCTCTTTCAGAACTTTGCACAGACATCAGCGTTACGACTGCTTTGGCAGTGATGTCACTGATTAGCGGCAAAAAGCCAGTATCATACGGCCACCTGCTAAAAGAGGAAACGCCCCCTTCTTCTTATTCGTTTATTCGAGATGTTACTTCACCTCCGATGTTTCAAAATAAAATATTTTCTCCACTCATCTATCTGTCGTTTCAATACAGCTATTGACCATCTGTGCTCTCCCTGCCCTTTCATTTTGTGGTGCTGGTTTGACGTTAGCGCGCTCCACGCTCTCCGAACTTGAACCTGCGTTTAAGTCCCGCCTCCTGAAGTATCTGCAGTTTGTACAAATATCTGTCAATAAGGCGGGACACAGACTTTTCTCCTCTACTTCGGACTAATTCTCATGAGAAGCTCAACCGAAGCACCGCAGCTAAACAGGAAGGAGCCAGTGGCGTTTCAAAATAAAGTAAATATTAAACATTTCATGATATTTAAATTAATTTCATACTTCAATTAGGGCTAGTATAAGTTCACAAATACAGGCTATACGTTTCATGCTTTACATTGTTTGACAATAGTGTAACGGGTTACGATTTGTTATGGCTGGACTTTTATGTTCTCGGCCGGTTGTGTGGAGAATTCCTGATCGGTTGTTTAGAAAGAGAAAGTGAGCTAGCTTGAACGGAGATCTTTAACTTAGTTTTTCCTGGAGTGTGTGGGCTGTGGCCAACAGTAGCCCAGAATAAAGATACGAAACAGAAAGAACAAGTATATATATATATATATATATATATATATATATATGTGTGTGTGTGTGTGTGTGTGTGTGTGTGTGTGTGTATGTATAGATATTAGGATTAGCATTGTCACCGTTAAAGACGTTCAAGGGTTTTCCTAACAATAAAGTGGGGAAACTGCATCTAAAAGACAAGGTCAGCTGTCAGCTGTTGTCCCAGTCAGGTTGTGTTACATCCCATCACACAGCTGACACACACACACACACACACACACACACACACACACACACACACACACGCTGATTCATCTCTTCAGCTAATCCTGAACTGGAAATGAACGCTGCTGCAGATCTAAAGGCTTCATATTCAAATCGAGTTAAGCTGCACCAGAACATAGCAGCAGACTCCTGATTACTTCGGTTTGGGTGTTTGTTCTCACATCAGACACAAACGCTGCAGCTCTGCGTGTGGCCGGTGTCCACCGACAGAGACAGTAACGCTCAGAGACAGTTGGACATGAGGACGACTCGTCTGCTTGGCGATAACGCTGAGCAGTCTGCGGAGTCAGTGTCGCCTCGTTTCAGATTAGTGTTCTTGAGTCTTTGTGCTGCTTCAGCTAACTACTGAACACACACACACACACACACCTGTCATCACAAGTCAGATCAGTGTTTTTTTAGAGACACACACATCAGATGAAGCCTGAACTCTCTCTGACTGGAGCGCAGGCGTGCGTGCGTGTGTGTGTGTGTGTGTGTGTGTGTGTGTGTGTGTGTGTGTGTGTGTGTGTGTGTGTGTGTGTGTGTGTGTGTGTGTGTGTGTGTGTGTGTGTGTGTGTGTGTGTGTGTGTGTGTGTGTGTGTGTGTGTGTGTGTGTGTGTGTGTGTGTGTGTGTGCTGATCATCACCAGCAGCTGGTTAGAAAACGTCTGGAGCAGAAATATAAAACCCAAAAGTCGGCCGAGTTTCACAGCACTCACGATTTGTCTCTGCGGATTGGGATCCGTCGCTGTGGACTGCCCTGCCGTCGCCGTGGCGACAGGGATTTTCCTCGGCTGCGCTCTTTGATTGGCGATTGAGCGCTGGATGATTTTAGGATCTAAAAGAAGACAAAAGTCAATATCACAGGTTTCTATTCAGTTAAATTGACACAGTCATGTATTTAATATTAGAATGAGGCTAGATTAGCATTAGCATTAAATATTAATGTAGAAAATCAATAATCATTCAATTCAGTTTTTTTGTTGCAACAAATCACGACAAGATTGATCAAAATAAAACATTCAGACTAAATGTTGGCATGAATCCAATGCTAATGCTAATCTTTTTTCTGTTTCTAAAAGCTTTGATTTATCATCAAATGTGAAAACGGAAGAGTTTCAGCCTCGTTTTAGTTTTATTTAGTGGAACTGGATTTTAGTCCCGAGCCTCTGAGGAACCCTGGTGTTCTTCTGGACCAGGATCAGGTCTGTAACTCAGAGAAACATGTGACCAGGACCTCTTTCCTTCCGTATGATGATGCTGAAACCAGGAGCATCCTGAGCCAAGACCTGGTTATTTTAGTTCTGCATGATCAGGATGTTCTGAAGGTTCTCTTAGAGCCTCCAGCTGATCCAGAAAGCTGAGATCAGGTTTCTCCAGTTTTAGCATCACGTCTTTTTGCTGAAAGATCCAGAAATGAATTTAAAACTTCTGAAGGACCAAGATCGTTCTTCTCAGATGTTCCCAGCAGAGCTCCTGGCTCAGACCAAGGTTTGGTTCCAAAGGTTCTGAAAGCAGAGCGTGAGGTGGAGCTCCAGTTGTCTGGATGTCTCCAGCAGCAGAAATGAGACCTCACAATAAAGCAAACTGAAACTGGAGATCAAACCAGATAAATATTCAGAAGGAAAAGAACGTCATCATGGTTCTGTTGACCTCTTTAGTCCTGCTGGACAAAAATAACTTTAAAATAAATATAAAGTATTATTAACCAGCAGCAAAAACCTGAGGAGGAACGGGTCTCCATTCTGAAAAGCTTTACTGATTAGAAGTAATAAAACTAGAAATCCTGACCTTTAATGACCTTTTGGCAACAGAACTGAAACTTCTGTGGAAGGAGAATAAGAGCCAGGAGGAATGAAGCAGCGGGAAGACGACCGTTTAACACTGTGTGTGTGTGTGTGTGTGTGTGTGTGTGTGTGTGTGTGTGTGTGTGTGTGTGTGTGTTAAATAACAACAGAAGCGCTTTAAAACTAGGAAGCTCTTCTCTCCTGCTGAAACTCACATAATCTGATTATTTCACACACAGATGAAGCCAAACTCCAGTCCTTCAGTGATGATAATAAATATGTTTGATCAGTTTTGGTTTTTCTAAAGATTAAATACAGACTCTTGAGATCACTAAAGCTTCACTAATGACACCAGAGAAGTGTGTGTGTGTGTGTTCATATTTGTGTAAGACAGCTGCAAACTCCACAACCTACATTTGCTGCAGACATGAAGGACGGTCCTGTACAGCGCGCACGCATGCGCACACACACACACACACACACACACACACACACACACACACACACAGGACCGCACCACATAAAGGCCAAAGGAACTTGTTTGGCCTCACATGATCCAGTTCCTTGTTTTCTTTCCTCACATGTTCTTCATCACGCCTGAATCATTTCTGACCGTTTAGATCCCTTCAGTCTGATCTCAGGGAAACATCCGTTAATTATTATAGTGTTATTATTAATTTATGTCTGGATTATTATCACCGCTATTACTATTACTATTAATTTTGTTAGTAATAGCAGTTGTAGTAATATAGTAATAGTAGTAATAGTAGCAGTAGTAATTGTAATAGTAGTAGTAGTAGTAGTAGTAGTGGTAGTAGCAGTAGTAATAGTAGTAATAGTAATAGCAGTAGTAGTAATGATAGTAGTAGTAGCAGTAGTAACAGTAATAGTAGTAGTAATATTAGTAGTAATAGTAATGATAGTAGTAGTAGTAGTAACAGTAATAGTAGTAGTAGTAATAGCAATAGTAGTGGTAGTAATAGTAGTAGTGTTAGTAGCAGTAGTAATAGTAATAGTAGGGGACCATGTGTGAACAGGTCCTCAGAGTTAGAAGAAAATGTTGATCTGAAAAATAAGCGTCCTCTAGACAATCACTGCCAACATTTAAATCCAGGGTAAAACAGTCCAGAGTAAGTCTCTTGGTGTGTGTGAGCCCAGATGCATGCTGGGTAAACGTGAGGCTGGAAAAGCTCCCGTCTCATCGTATCTGCACCGAGAGACAAACCTTCATCCTCATGTCTCGCCCGTGTTTCTCCAGCTCCTTCCTCATCTCCTGAGCTCCGAGTCGGGCTGCATTCAGCACCAAATGCTTCCACTCGATTGGCTGGAAGACATGGGGGTCGTGAGGCACGTACAAGCCAATCTTCACCTGAGAAGAGAAGTTTAAACGTTTATTCTCAGACGTTTACCCCGTCTGCGCCATCCGTTCATCCCCACCTTCTTTAAAGTGTGCTGGTATCTCTTGTAGGAACGCTCAAACTCGGCCACCAGTTCTCCCAGCGTTCGGTAGGTCGGCGGCTTATCCATCAGATCCTGGCGCCGGCTCATGCCCAATGATCCATAACGACCGTTGGAGTAGACGCCAAGAACCACGTGGTGAAAGCAGTGTCCCGAAAACTGGGTCTTAAAGCTGATGGGGAAGCGCTCGAGAGATGTGAGTCCATTGGTCAGGTAGCTGGTTGGGACCAGTTAAGGGAGGATTACCTGCTGCTGTGTCATTTGTTGCCTGTGTGAAAGAGTTTTCTGGTTTTATTGGCTATGATTTAACATGTTAAACCTGGTTAGATGTGTCAGAGGAGGAAGCAGCAGCTCGAGTTGTGTGATGAGATTCAGTCTGATCCTGAGAACGCCATCGGGTCGACAGTCCGAGCATCGAACTGTCACAGAGTTTATGTTGGATTTGTTTCTGATACAATCAGTCACCTTCTTGTTGTTACCTGGATGTTTTTACCAGAACATGTCCCAAAAATAAAGAAGATATTGTGATGAAACTCAAGGTCTTCATTTGATATTCGACTACGACTAACTAACATTTATAGTCAGCCTAAATCTGGGAATGGGAACTCAGGTCCTGGAGAGCCTCCCCACTTCAGCACACCTGATTTTAAACAGCAGGTGATTAACAGGCTTCTACAGAGCCGGATGAGCTGCTGCACAGGTGACTCAACTGTGTTGGAGCAGGGAAACCTCTAAAACGGCGGATAGCGGCGCTCCCTACCCCCAGCCTAAATGCAGATGGCCACAGCCACTCCGTCAGTTTTAGCGTTGCTGGGATAAAATTAGGTGTGGTTGTAGGTAAGAGTCTTTATCAGCCACAGAAATTAAACGGATAAAAACCCATGGAGTCAGAAAAAGCCAGTTGCTTCTACATCACCGGAATAATTCGCATTATTGGCCCCACCCACCCTAGCTTGGGACCACCCACAGGAAGCAGAGAGCAGAGCGTGTCTCGGCTAGCGATATGGCTTGAAAACACGTCAGTGTTGCCTTTTTCACCCAAGAAGAGTGAGTGAAGGCAGCAGAAGAGTAGAGATACTGTTGGCCAATCAGAGATTAGGTGTTAATGAGTCTTGATTATTAATTAGTCTGAGTTATTCTTCAGGCTATCACGCTCATTACTGACCTCGGCTTTATGGAAGCTGCAAGAATAAACAAATGAACAAAACTCCAATGTTTGTCTGGAAGAAGAAGAAATGAGGAAACAGCTCTGATTATCTAGGCTGTCAGCATCACGCGTCTAACGGTTTTAACCAACTAAAGTAACTAGATTACACATTTAAAGCATCTCTGTATCAGTGTGGTTTATGAAGCAGCACAAGAACAAATGTTCAGCAAGTGGGATGTTGTACAGAACACCAGATAAATATTCTGGACAAACCTTCTCCAGACGAGCTTCACGTGTGTGGAGATGAGCAGAACAACCTTGTTCCCGACTAACCGACGGTTAGTTTAACAAGCTTGTTTATGTGACGGACGACATGTGACGCTGCCAGCAGCTCAGCCCCAACAGTCTGGAACATTTTCCACCCTCTCACAAGCGATCCATCACTTAGAAAGCAACAACAGGCTGAAGCGCTCCGAGTCAGTTCAGCTGAGGTCACGTCCTCCCAACACGCTCCTCTGCCACATCCCATCACTCCAACCCCACGTTTAAAAGTAAACAAGTAACCTTTAGAGAACAATGCAAGGTACTGTTCCTCTGAAACTCTGTCATGTGCTTCTGCCATCACCGTTATCGCCTCTGGAACGTTCCTGTATCAGTTTGGAGAAAGAATGTAAAATATGGCCGCGGTTTACAACGAGTCTTTTCACATTCAGCGAGAGCCGAGCCCCGAAGCCTCGTCACACTCGCTTTATTTTAACATTCACTTTGTTTATCTGTTTATAAAACGTACAAAAATCACAATAATGTAACAAAACACACACACACCAGCTGGACTTCCTTTTATACAAAGCTCTCTGGAGTTTAGATTCCCTGGATCTGTTCAGGAAGCCGGGATCACATTCCCAACCTCCTGACTGGAAGAACGTCTACAGCAGGGCTCCATCCTGGTCCAGGTGGGCCGGTATCCTGCATGTTTTAGCTGTTTCTCTGCTCCAACACACCTGTTCAGCAGCTCTGCAGAAGCCTGTTACCCACCTGCTGATTGACATCAGGTGTGTAGAAGCAGGGAAACAACTAAAACATGCTGGATATCGGCCCGCCAGGACCAGGTGGGAGGACCCCTGGCCTACAGCTTTTGGAATCTAGCTCGTTCAATATGGCCGCCACAGTAAATGCACCTGAGCCAACACTAAGCGGCTGAGTAGCTGCGTCATCTACAGAATGGTCAGCAAATAAAACAAGACAACACACAAGCTCCCATCACTCCTCATCAGGTGGTTTTAGGATGAAACTTGGGGGTGAAGGATGGGAATGCTGGGATTACACTGCTCTGAGGACCAGTTTAAGCTTCCTACAGAGCTGACTGGTTGGACTGGTATGACATCATCACAGCAGCAGGTGTGTCACAGCTTTAAGAGTAACCTGTCTGGCCTGCATGACAGAGGCTCCATAGCTCAGTGGCTAGAGCACTGGTCTTGTAAACCAGGGGTCACGAGTTCGAACCTCGTTGGGGCCTGCCTGCTTTTTTTTTTTTCATGACCAGATGTTTAATGTTGGAGCAAAACCAAATCTTCCTGAACAGTCAGACATCTTTCATCAACATGAAACGAACGTTAAAACAGAATCATGTTTGTGAGCGTCTGAAGTCAGCGCTGGAGAAAACCAGCACAAGCTAATCTGGATCGTCTCCTCTGTTGGCACATAAACCTGCATCATTACCCCCTTCAGCATATTTAGTCTGAGTCCGTAGTAGACCGGGAGCACGAGTCCAGCCTGCATGTCTGAAAAACTTCACTTCCTGTTCTTTAAAGAGCAAGTCACCCCAAATCTACTTGTTTTTGCTGATAAACTCTATAAAACAAGTGTCTAATCGTGCTGTAGACACATGTAGTCAATAATTTGGCACTTCGATGCATCTTAGTTAAAATTTTTATATTCTGCCTAAAATTGTCAGTGTTGCGCCGTTGAAAAAACTCAACACTGCATTTGAATTTAAATCTGCTAAGAGGTATGCGATGATGTTAACTGGTACATTATGATGTCACAATGCCGTTATGAGCCTGTGTGTGTATTTGTTAGCGGCTCTGCCCTCTTGGTCTGCCAGACAACAGCATTTGTTGCATTTTTCAAACATGAAGTGGGAGTGGAGTTAGACTCTGGTAGTGGGTGACTTGCTCTTTAAATGCATAAGTCCTAATGAGAAGAAGAAATTAGCCATAACCATTATTATCTAGTCTGTTGCCCTGGAGATGACATCATCATAAAAACACCATGTTGTACTGTTGCTGCTCATTTGGAACATGTCCTGGAGGCAGAAACACAAGAGCCTACTCTGGTCGTGCTCCAGACCTCCACATGTGGACTCAGACCAACAATGTCAGACTGAACCGTGTCAGTTGGGAGGAGGGGGGTTTCAAGATTGAAACTGGAAATGTTTTGTATTTGTACAACCCCCCATGGCGCTTTACAACACTGTCATCCACACATTGACACACTGGCGGGGATGAGCCACAGCTGCACTGACAGAGGCGAGGCTGCAGAACACAGGCCCTACCGGTCCCTCCGAACACCACCAGCATGTAAGTGACTTGTCCAAGGACACAACGGCAGCATTCCCTGGTCAGAGCCGGGATCTAACCTGTAACCTTCTGATTACTGGACAACAATAGAGCTTAAAAAAATAGATGAAACCAGCAACTAAAAATCAGGATTAAATCACAACAAAAGTCATGAAAAGCTCCTGAGACCAGAACAGCTGCTGCAGAACCTGAAGCTCTGCTGGATGACACTAAGATGGGGGGGGGGGGCTGGCTTTGGAGAGGGCCTGTTGCCAAGCAACAAAATAGAGCACTACAGAACGGTGATGGGGGCATTAGACGTTTAGAGCAGTGTGTTTTATTAATTTTTATACACAGATGATAAACCTTACAGTGCTCTGTGTGTGTGTGTGTGTGTGTGTGTGTGTGTGTGTGTGTGTGTGTGTGTGTGTGTGTGTGTGTGTGTGCGTGCGTGCGTGCGTGCGTGCGTGCGTGCGTGCGTGCAAGGATACATTCCCAGGATAACTGCTTCCAGGCATTTGATTGGCAGAGACTCCCTGATCATCTCTCTGGCGGTTTCCATTAACCTGGAGGGGAAGAAGAGGAGAAGAGGATGTAGATGAAGAGGAAGTTGCATTTTGGGAAGAATATGAGGAGGATGAAGATGAGAGGTGAAACAGAAACAAAAGGTGTTGTTTAGGACTCGTTAAGCCAAGTCACTTTACAGAATAACGAGCAGAAAAAGTGAAGAACATGTGAGAACGGTCAACAGCATGAACAATGTTATTGTGAATAAGGCTGGGCCCAGTATCGACCCTTGAGGAACGCCTATACATATATAGGTATATGCATAAACTGATGTAGAGGGGTCTAAACCAAGCCACAGATGCCTGAGAAGGTCCTATATGTTTGAGCTTGCTAAGTAAGATGTTAAGTAAAGTCAGTTAAGAAAAGTTTTTGTATGGTTTTTTTTTTTTTTTTTTTCATCTATGATTTAAGTGTAAACCAGAGCTTGGAGCATTAATTCTCTTCAACACCGAATTCTGACCACAGAAACATAATTCATATTTTGTCCTTCAGTAATAAAAGTGGTGAAATGTAAAAATGTTGCTTTGCTACAGGAACGTATTTTAAAGCTACTCACCCACACAGAGGACGGCTCTTCTTGATTTCAAAGAACTGGGTTCCTGTGTGGTTGTACCTGACACAGAGGTTAAGGACAACACGAATCCTGTCCACAGCTGCTAGGAGACGTAGAAATGTGGTCCCAGCAAAGGATACTGCAGAGTCTTCATGAAGTTCTGGATGGCCACCAGCCAGTCAGCCACAGACATGGAGGGTTTAAAGGTTGGAATGGAGGGAACAGGAGGCTGAAGATGAGAACGTTCCAGATTAAACATCTAGTCAACATGTGAGACCATTTAGATCTCCTACAACTCCTCTCATCTTTAAAACTATACCAGGCGTTCAATGTTTCCCACAAGTCTGTAAATCCAGCAGCAACACGTTAAAGATGTCGGTCACTCGTTTAATTACGAATGCTGTGTAAGTCGTACTCTGGAGAAACAAAGCTCAGGTGCACCTGGTTCAGGATGTAGAAGTCAGCTGGGGGAGAAATTGGCTTCAGACGACTGCCACGGACTCTGTTTGCTCTGCAACGTTGATGTTTTATCTCCACAAATAACACAAGCCTGGAGGAGTTCTGCTGTGTGGTGGAGTTGCTAATGCTAACAGTTAGCTTCTACTAGCCAAGACGTTCTCTGTTGTTTCCTGGATGCTAAACCAACAACAGCCTTCCCCGTCGTGAGTCCAGATGGGTGAGTCCATGAATATTAGTGACAGTGTGACTTAGATCTGTCAGGATTTTCTAATCCTAGAGTTTCATCAGAAGCTATTGCAGAAGATTGGTGTATGAGACTATTTTCATGTCCAGCCTGCATGAAGCACTCAAAGTGAGCCGTTAGAATCAGAAATAACCATAAAAACATGGTTTTTCAGTGCTCCAAACCTTTATCCTCACCAGGTTTTATTAAAACTTCTTCTGAAAGCAGAGGCTGTGGTGGCCGTGACTCATGGCTGCAACCAGAACTTCACTTTCATGAATAAACCATAAAATAGCTGGTGAAGCTCATCTGTGATCCGTGTTTCTAATCCCGTAACCGATACTGCTAGACATCTAACCAGTCAGCGTTTACGTTCAGGTTAACCTAAATCAGAAATTAATGTTAATTTCCAGACAAATGTTTATCTTACGGAAGCAGAAAGGAGGAAACAGTGGTCATCCCAGAAAAACCCAGCAGAGCTGCAGGAAATTACTTCCTCTGACACACTGGCTCAAACCCGGAATGTTGGAGGGAATAATCAGGATCGGCCAGCGTTAGACCACAACATCATCAGAAACCAGACTGGAGAGATAAACAAAAACAGCTGGTTTTACAGCGGCTTCACCTCAACAGGAATGTTCCTCAGAGGTCAGCGGTGAGGGCGCACACACACACACACATACACACACACAGGAAGGGGGAACCGTAACACTTCCTGTGGGTTTAGAAACAAAAAGAGTCAGAGTTTTAAACACATTTGGTCAAATCTACATAAATAAGAGAGCAGGAGCTCATGCTAGCTGCTAGCATCAAGGCTCAAATGTGTTGGGCTCAATCCCAACACTCGCGCTTCCACATTTGCACCTTTTAATTGCGCGAACCCAACCGGGGGTGCGAGTGCGTAGGGTGTCCCGATTCTCTTATGCGGAAGCTGATCACGCCCCTTTAGCGCCCTTGATTCGCACTTCACCCAAGTCAGCATCAATGCGGACATGGGTGAAGGGTTTACCCACAATCCATTGCTGCAGGAGAAAAGGCTCAAGCTCCTTTTCTGAAAATATGTATTTTCTTATTAAATTAGTTCGTTTTAGGATGATTAGTTGATGCTGTAAAACTTTTAGGCAAAGCAGCAACAAATGTAAGATTATTTCTAATAATTGTTTGTTTGAAAGTTGTTAATAAAGTTTTTTAAGGCATCACAGCAACCAGCATCCCGGTATGCGTTGCGATCCATGAAGCTATGCTCCCTGTCTCAATTCAACAATTATTTGCACAATTGTGAACCACGCACTCGAAGTGCACTAAGCTGAAGGTCGCAGGGTGAGTGCTGGGATTGGGCCTTGGTCTCAGCCAATCTGCTGTAGCTCACAGTAAAAGAACAATCTGCCAGCTGGCCGGTCCTGCTGGTGTCCAGCCAGCCCATAAACCAGTATGCCAGCCGACACCAGTATGAGCTTGTTTTACAGCATCATAATGTGAGTAACTCCTCTCAATGATGCTGTACATCAGCTGCTCAAAAGGGCCGCAGCTGCTTCTGCTCCAGGAACTTTAATCCTCAACTTTCTTATGGGAAAATGGTTGGACGGCCATCCCACCGCTGCTGCGTCCCACCCCTGCTGCTGCGTCCTACTCCTGCTGTTGCGTCCCACCCCTGCTGCATCCCACCACTGCTGCTGTGTCCAACTCCTGCGTCCCACTCCTGCTGCTGCATCCCACCATTGCAGCTGCATCCCACTCCTGCTGTGTCCCACCGCTACTGCTGCATCCCACTGCTGCAGCTGCGTCCCACTCCTGTTGTGTCCCACCCCTGCAGCTGCGTCCCACTCCTGCTGTGTCCCACCACTGCAGCTGCGTCCCACTCCTGCTGTGCCCCACCGCTGCAGCTGCGTCCCACTCCTGCTGTGCCCCACCGCTGCAGCTGCGTCCCACTCCTGCTGAGTCCCATCCCTGCAGCCGTGTCCCACTTCTGCTGTGCCCCACCGCTGCAGCTGTGCCACACCTTTGCAGCTGCATCCCACTCCTGCTGTGTCCCACCGCTGCAGCTGCGTCCCACCGCCACTTCGTCCCACCCCTGCAGCAGTGTCCCACTCCTGCTGTGTCCCACCGCTGCAGCTGCGTCCCACCGCCACTTCGTCCTACCCCTCCAGCTGTGTCCCACCACCGCTGCAGCTGCATCCCACTCCTGCTGTGTCCCACCGCTGCAGCTGTGTCCCACTCCTGCTGTGTCCCACCGCTGCAGCTGCGACCCACTCCTGCTGTGTCCCACCACTGCTACAGCTGTGTCTCACCGCTGCAGCTGCGTCCCACTCCTGCTGTGTCCTACCCCTGTTGCTGCGTCCCACTCCTGCTGTGTCCCACCCCGTTACTGCGTCCCACCGCTACTTCGTACCACTCCTGCTGTGTCCCACCGCTGCAGCTGCATCCCACTCCTGCTGTGTCCCACCGCCGCTGCTTCGTCCCACCGCTGCTTCGTCCCACTCCTGCTGTGTCTCATCGCTGCAGCTGTGTCCCACTCCTGCTGTGTCCCACCGCTGCAGCTGCGTCCCACTCCTGCTGTGTCCCACCGCTGCTACAGCTGTGTCCCACCGCTGCAGCTGCGTCCCACTCCTGCTGTGTCCTACCCCTGTTGCTGCGTCCCACTCCTGCTGTGTCCCACCGCTGCTACAGCTGTGTCCCACCGCTGCAGCTGCGTCCCACTCCTGCTGTGTCCCACCGCTGCTACAGCTGTGTCCCACCGCTGCAGCTGCGTCCCACTCCTGCTGTGTCCTACCCCTGTTGCTGCGTCCCACTCCTGCTGTGTCCCACCGCTGCTACAGCTGTGTCCCACCGCTGCAGCTGCGTCCCACTCCTGCTGTGTCCTACCCCTGTTGCTGCGTCCCACTCCTGCTGTGTCCCACCGCTGCTACAGCTGTGTCCCACCGCTGCAGCTGCGTCCCACTCCTGCTGTGTCCTACCCCTGTTGCTGCGTCCCACTCCTGCTGTGTCCCACCCCTGTTACTGCGTCCCACCGCTACTTCGTCCCACTCCTGCTGTGTCCTACCCCTGTTGCTGCGTCCCACTCCTGCTGTGTCCCACCGCTGCTACAGCTGTGTCCCACCGCTGCAGCTGCGTCCCACTCCTGCTGTGTCCCACCGCTGCTACAGCTGTGTCCCACCGCTGCAGCTGCGTCCCACTCCTGCTGTGTCCCACCGCTGCTACAGCTGTGTCCCACCGCTGCAGCTGCGTCCCACTCCTGCTGTGTCCTACCCCTGTTGCTGCGTCCCACTCCTGCTGTGTCCCACCGCTGCTACAGCTGTGTCCCACCGCTGCAGCTGCGTCCCACTCCTGCTGTGTCCTACCCCTGTTGCTGCGTCCCACTCCTGCTGTGTCCCACCCCTGTTACTGCGTCCCACCGCTACTTCGTCCCACTCCTGCTGTGTCCCACCGCTGCAGCTGCATCCCACTCCTGCTGTGTCCCACCGCCGCTGCTGCGTCCCACCGCTGCTTCGTCCCACCGCTGCTTCGTCCCACCCCTGCAGCTGTGACCCACCACCGCTGCAGCTGCATCCCACCCCTGCTGTGTCCCACCGCTGCTACCATCCCTTCAGATGGAGGTCCACAGTCTCTTGATGCTTTTGCAATAATCACCAGATTTTTCTATCACGCATAAATTTACAACGTGTTTCCATGCATTTATATGAAATACTCTGCTGTGGTGTGGTGGTCCGACCTCATCTCCAGTAAGAAAGCATTAATTAAGCCCAGTTTAGACCAGCAATTAATCTGTCTCATCCACACACACTTCCTCTGTAATCTAGTCCTGACTTCCTGTTTCCTGTCCGCCCTTCCTACTGACGTCTCTATTATTACTTCAACCACCGTTTTCATTCCTTCTTTTGTCTAGCTTTCTGCTCCTCTGACTTTTCTCCACCCACATGGCTGCACCGTGATGGTGCAGCCATGTGTGCGGAGAGCAAACACGTCATTTAAACTTCCTGAAGAGTGAAACCTTCTTGGTGTTGCAGCTGAAGGCAGCTGGAAAAAAGGTCCGACTGAAAACTGAAATTACTAAATTAAGTAAATGAATAATAATCTATAAATTTAAAATTTAAGTTTCTACCAACTTAGAATAAAATCCATGAATAAAACTCAACTGAACCTTAAATCAGACTAAAGTGGCATCAAGGTCCATCCAAGTCTCACTGACCCAACAGCAGGACATAAGACAACCGGGACAGAAACAGGAGACAGATGGACGGACACGTCTCTTTCATGACCTTCCTGTTGTATTGTCTGATGGGAAAGTGGGCGGGGCCAACAGCAGAGAGAAATAAAATGAAAGTACTGGAGCAGGAACACGTGGTGGTGCAGGAGTGTGATCCAGTCAGGATTAGCCGTCACCTCTACATTTCATAATGATGAATCATAAATCATCCACACCTGCATCGCGTCTTTCAGAGTCAGAGGACCCCAGAGCTTCACACTAGAGTCGATAATGTGTACGTTTGATCTGAGAGCAGTCAGGATTAAAGGCAGCTGTGCTGAACCGAGACAGGAGATCATATTTCTGATGCTGGGATATCTTTGGAGTGGGACATCCCGGGAATGCTCTGAGTGGGTGAGTGAGTGAGTGAGTGAGTGAGTGAGTGAGTGAGTGAGTGAGTGAGTGAGTGAGTGTGTGTGTGTGTGTGTGTGTGTGTGTGTGTGTGTGTGTGTGTGTGTGTGTGTGTGTGTGTGTGTGTGTGTGTGTGTGTGTGTGTGTGTGTGTGTGTGCATGCGTGTTCTTTTATCAGGGTTAATAATGGCTGATGAATCTTTCTGCTGCACGCTGTCAGGACTGGACCTGTAATCTGAATTACACACCAGAAGAGGTCAGATCTGAAATGTCCAGCATCCATAATTTGGGTCATCTGACATGATTTTTTATCTCTTTTCTGGTGTTTCTGGATGACCTGGTTAGGTCAGACCTACTGATTACACCACGCTCTCCACCTGTAGTCACGGACAAAAAAAAGATTCAGCATTCCTGCCTTTGTTTACGGAAAAAGGACCAGCAACGGGATTCCAACAGGAGATAAAATCTGTTTGAGTTTAGATGTAATAAATTATAATTCAGCTTTAATGATGCGTTTAAGGAAAAGCTGTTGGGATATTTGACTCCCCTCCCTCTTTTTGGTTCTGGCTCCTATGACGTAATCCAGAGATTATCTACTACCCAGATTGAGGGATTATTTGGTTGCTGTGCCGAGACTAATGAGGTCGTGGAGTCTGACAGGAGGGACGGTGAGAAAGATTGTGTGTGGGCTGGATTAACATTCCACAGATATCTCCTCACCGACATTGTGATTTATCATCCTTCTCATGATTTCTCTGAGTTATAAAACAGTTTAAAATCACATTTCACGACTGATTTCTCAGTAAAACTGCAATCCTTAAACAATCCAAATGATTAAAAGTGGTCGGAGTCTCAAAGCCACTCCTGTCTTCTTTCTGTGGCCTAAAGGTGAAGTTGGAGCATAGAGTCAGCGGCTGGCTCTGCTCCAACAAACTGTTTCTATACTACACAGAGTCAGGTTGCACGTTAACAATACGGCTAAAATAAACCAACGGACACTCGGGTTCCTACTGCAGCAGTCAGACTAAAGCTTTACTGTTCAGATAAAAACTACTGTCCACTCCTTGTTCCCTCCTCTCCATGACTGATGTCAATGTTGTTGTTGTTGTTACTGTTGTTGTTAGCCTCAAGGGCAAAATGCCGATTATCACTTGTAAGTCGCTTTGGACAAAAGTGTCTGCTAAATACATAAACATAAACATAAAATCATCACAGATCATGAGAGAAGGACACACTCATGTACTGAAGATGAGATTTCTGTGATTTTCCAGGTAGACAGGAACTAAAAGACCTAAAGGTTGTGAAATGTCTGTGTTCACATTCCTGCAGCTCATGTTTATCAGAAACACAAAAAGTGGAGTTTGGTTCTGCCAGCCAACCGGGTCACCAGCGACCACATCGGTACGGCAACAAGTGGGTTCCCCCTCCGCTTCCGGAAAAAATAAACAAGCATTCATGATAATTACTGGAGTGTGTGTGTGTGTGTGTGTGTGTGTGTGTGTGTGTGTGTGTGTGTGTGTGTGTGTGTGTGTGTGTGTGTGTGTGTGTGTGTGTGTGTGTGTGTGTGTGTGTGTGTTCCTCCGAAATCAGCTCGTACTTTAATTAGATTCATCCTAAACAAGCCTTTAGTTGTGTTCGGGTCAGCATGTACCTGTGTTCATGTTAACACCATCTGACAGCTATGACGCCCTATTTTAGCATGATTGTTGTCATGGTGACACAATGCATCATGGTGTGTGAGTGTGTTTATGGGCTCAGGCACCCAACTGAACACAAGAACATGCTTCCGCTGAGACTCGACATGTATGATAAGGATGAATTTGTCACTAGAAGAGTCTTCAACAAACAAACGCAGCTCGCTGCATCAGCCGCAGATCTGCACAAGATTATCTACAAACCAACTTCCACATTTAAACACCTACTTACAGAAAATCCATCATTTCAAGAGGGAGAGGGATGAAGAAAAATGTGATAACACTTCTGTAAAATAATAAAAAATTCCTACAGTAAACAAATACCAGAAAGTCTGACATTTCAGTCAATATCACCTCATATTTACTGTGCTGAATGTTTCCTCTGTGGAACGATATGGACGGAGGAAATGTAACAGTAAAACCTAAAGCCATTAGATTGATATGGATTATTTAAAAGAAGCTAAACTAAAAAAAATAAAGAGCAATAAAAGCCTGCTCAGTGTCTCTGTTTTATATGTTTATAAACAAACTAATGACTTCAGGTGGATATAAGAAACTCACAGGAACATATTTAACTTGCAGAGCTGCAATCCTGTCACATCTGGTCCCATCAGAGCTCAGCTGTGCTGGTTTTAATGGTTTCAGGAGAGTCCAATACCTTCAGATTACTTCAGAAGACAAGCAGCCACAGCTAAGCCCAGAGGGCTGCAGGAATACAGCATTCATAAAAAGCCATTTACCAGCAAACACACATCTCTGGATGCCCAACATCTTGCTGCTGTCATGTGAACACACACCGTGTCAAACTGTGTTGGTGCTTCTGAGATGTTTAAATGCCAGAAATCATGACCCTTTAGAAAACAGCCAGAGTGAAGCAGCACTTCATCATGAGTCGCGTCACCAAGACAACAGGCAGGAATCAAAAACTGCAGCTACTCATCAAAAGGTCAGAGAGGTCAGAAGCGTCGTAAAGACACATCTCAGGTTTCCAACCCCTTTACTCACTTTTGGATGATATGCTGCGTTTCGTATCTTATTCACCATCTCCTGGCCGTCAGGATGCACAGCAGCCACGTGGGACCACATCCTCTCCCAGGTGACACTCTCGATGGGAAAACCGGTTCTGTTCACGTAGAACAGGACCCCTCCATCCTTCTCCTCCTCCTCCTCCTCAGGAGAGTGGTTGGGAGAGGATGCAGAGGACTCCTCACGAGCGCTGCATCGCAGGAGGCAGTGTGAGCTGGTGCTCTTGGACCGGCCGTGTCTGCTCAGCTTTGCCGGGGAGGTGCCGGTCCGGCTGGGGGAGTTGGGTCCAGTCATTGGGTCCAAGGAGGAGGAGGGCGAATTAAGCTGAGCGATCCTCCTCCGGCTACAAGACCATCATCATGTGGTTTCACTGTAAACAGTCCATGTTGTTGGTGTGAAGCATCGACATGTGAAGGCAGACCTGGAAACAAGAATCAGAACCTCTAAACTCACATTGATACTTCACTATAAAGTTATGTATAATTAAAAAAACCAGGATGAAAGTAAAACAATTGTGCTGCAACGACATCATCACTCAAAGATATGGCTGCGTTTTTGTTGGCTCCTGGAAAAAGCCTGATCACTTCCCGTTTAGACAGAAAAAGATGCGGAATATTTCACTAACACTTTGATTTTCCACACCAGCCAGGGCTACTGTCTGATGACATAAAGTCAGGGGGGAAATGAACACATATAAAAGAATTTGGGGAAAATAATATTTATAATAATATTTTAAAAAAGAGTTTCTGTGAAATTAAAACTGCGTTCAACGCCACCAGCACCGGCTAATTCTTTTTCGGTGCAACCGTTTTGATACCGTTAATAATCCAACCCTACCGTGCTCTCCAGCGGGGCTCGGGTTTCACACAAACGACGAACCCTCTGGATTAAAAGGCATTTCTCTTGAGAAACACTCGTTGAGGCGAGAGAAGTTCCATTCATAAAGAGGCGACGCTGTCCACTGCAGGCTGTGAAGTCTTGTTTTGGGTTGAGGCTTTGTAACTTCACCTTTTCTTGTATGTGTCAAGTTGATAAAAGTCAAGAGGCCGTTAGGTTGCACTTCCTCTAAAGTCGGTGTCACAATAAGAGTCGTGCGTTTTTATACCTCCTACATCTAAATAAAAAAACGTTGCATTGCATTCACGCTTACAAGGGGGTAATTGTATGTTTGTAAAAACACCAACTGAAGATTCCACTTCAAACACTTTAGTAAATCAAACCCTCCTCTCATAGCGCAGTCTTATTCTGAAAGTCTCCTCCGGAAGTTTCTATGTTTTGCTAGCTAGCCAACACTGCTCCTCTATCTTTGGTCTGAGAACACCGCAGGGCTGTAGCCTCCCACCACCAAAGTCGAGAGTATTTACCTGCTCTATGCATCCCCCTCGACTTAAGGCGCATCGGTATCAGCTACCGATACAGGAAATGTCACTTCATCACGAATAAAAAGGCTAAAGTATTTCGTTACATGATTAAATAATTGAAGATAATGTGGACGCCTCGCGCTTCCCTCTATCCGTCCCCAAGCCAGTCCCCAAACCTCTGCGGCTTCTCATTGGTCACGCCAACAAAGAGGGTCGGGGCTAAGAGTATTTTCTACCATATTTGGAACAGAAGGTGCTTTCTGATTGGTTCATTTTGAGAGACGAAGCAGCTAACAAGTGATACATTTGCAACAAATGGGGCTTTCAGCCACTCGGTGTAACTGTTGATTTTTTTCTAATTCTATCAGCTTTATCTCAGAATACATCATTTTACCAAACAATTGCTTTAAAATACATTGCCACAAATGGTCGATTTATTAGAATTATTTAATGTTTATTATAACTTGTCCCAACTGTGTGTCAGATTTTTTATTTCTATGATTATCTCTCACCCCTAAAGTCAGATGGAAAGCAACTGAGAAAATTGTGCATCCATTTAAGAACAATAACGATGAGACTTTTTTGTTGCAATCAGATTAAAAATGTTGAATTACTACCTTATCTCTCTCTCACTCACACACACACACACACACACACACACGCGCGCTCGCGCGTTGGTTACTACATTTGCGGGAGAAACTTAACTTACCACTCCCTCTAGTGGATGAAAAGTAAAGCAGCACAGAAGAACTAATCATTTGGCCCAGTTCTACTATTTAATATTCCTCAGATGGGGAGAAACTGAACATCAAGGAAATTGAGCAAAAACATGTTCTGCTATCATATCAGGGTGAACTTGGTGTGTTCTGTGGGTTCAGAATGTCTGTACTCGGCTTCTAACCAAGTCCTCCAAACACACCCACATCACCCCACTTCTCTTCCAGCTTCATTGGCTGCCAGTCAACTTCAGGGTTCATTTCAATATCCTGGTTCTGGTCTATAGGGCCTTACATGGACAAGCACCATCTTACATTGGTGATCTTCTTAGTCCCTACACCCCCAGCAGGTCCCTGAAGTCCAGTGACCAAAGCCTACTGGTTGTGCAGCACCGGGCTAAAGGTCCAAGGTGACAGATCATCTGCTGCTGTGGCCCCCAGACTCTGGACCTCTCTCCCCCTGAACCCGAGATCACTGGACTCAGTGGTCTCCTTTAAACTCACCTGTTCAGGCTTTGGTGAGACCTTCATCACCTCCCTCTCCTTGTTCTGCTCTTATTCCGCCTTTCCCGGGATCCACTGATTTCCCTCTTTCCTTTTCATTTTCTCTCTTCCTCTCCTTACATTTTTTTTACATTTTAAACATATTTTGTAAATAATAAAAAAACATGTTTATATTTTAAATTTTTTTGTTTTTGTGAAGCGCCTTGGGATTTTCATCTTGAGAGGCGCTATATAAAAAGATTGTTTTCTTTCTCTATTTCTATAGTCATGAAAAGATGTCTGTTCTGGGTTGATCCCATCACTAAACTCAGTTCTTGAAATAAAATCATTGGGTTTCAAGCTGCACAAGAATCTAATGTTCAGAAGAATGCTGTTGGTGTTTAGAATGGATTCCTCACAAGTATTATTTTTACCAGTTCTGAAAGTTTTTGCGTAGTAAATTCCTTTTATTTTAAACACAACATCTAGTTTATTTCTACACCCTCAGCCTTGTTATGGTGGGTGCTTCAGAGCTGAGTTTATTGTTTTAGCTTCAGCATGAATGTGTAAACATTAACATTCATGTTTGCTCAAGTTCAGTTTTTTTTGTATGAGGTTCTGACGCTGTTGAGCAATTTCTGCAGCATGCACTCTGAACAAATTAAAATATGTCCGTGCAGCCGTCTGTAAATCTGGGAGTTTATTGAACTGTTCAGTTCAACGCAGTAAAAGTACAACTTCAACAAGATAAAAGAATCGAGTCAAAGGAAGGAGCAGCGATGCCACAGACCAAAGTTCCCGCTGGTGAAACAATCATTCACTGTTTTATAGATTAACCTTTCTGCTATACGTCCAGACGACCTGAGGAGCGCTTCAGTTCTGGTTTCTCTCTAAGCTTCAGATTCTTCTGACCTCCAGTCAGCTGGACTGAAGCTGTTAAAGTCATGGCTGTTTTAGACCTTCTGCTCCAGTCCTACTCCGCCTCCCTGCTGGTGGTTCTGGTGGTTCTCCTGCTGACATATCTCCTGACTTCTCCCAGCTTCAGTGTCACCCAAACTAGGAAGGAGCCACCAGGACCGACACCACTCCCAATTCTCGGGAACCTTCTGCAGATCGACCTGAAGAGGCCATACCACACGCTGCTGGAGGTGAGGAGGTTAAAGGAGAGGTTTGTCTCAAAGATGACTCCTAAAATGCTTTTGCTGTGTATGAGTCACAGCTCTCTAAAGGAAGTTTTATTTCTCTACAAACAAAGTCTAGTTTCAAGCTTCTTTTAACGGCTTAGTGATGATTTACTGTGATTCAAATGTTAAGAAAAACTACAGCAGTGATGCGTTCAGGGCATCTTTTCTTTTGTGTTTTAAAACTTGGTCTAAAAATGTAATATCACCAAAGAGAAATGTGTGTGTTATTGACTCGCCCTAAAAGGTTTGATGGGAAACTGCATACAAACATTAAAGTTGTGTGTTTCTGGAAGTTTTATGAACAAAACTTTTGTCATGAAAAACAAAATTAAGTTTTTTTTCTATTTGAATTTAAAAAGGAGTCATCTGGGGTCAGACTGGAGATGAGGAAGAAACAAAAGCTTTGTTTTTAGTTTCAATGCATGTCCACAAGAGGGCAAAAACGAACAGATAAATTAAAGTTTTGCTGCGCCAGTTTGGGGTTTTATCATCGTTTCTCGCTGCTTTTGATGAATTGGGAATTTCTTTAAAAAAAACAATCGATTCAATTATTTTAAATGTACAAGGAAAGATTATGATAACTGTTTTGATTACTTGTACATGTTGTAAATGAGAACAGTCTTTGTTTTTATCTTATATTATGCATCATCAGTATTATTATTATTATTATTTTATTAATCTTGTATGTTTTATCTCATCTGTTTTCCTTAAAGCTAACTGTGTGTCTGTTGCTGCTGCCTCTGGGCCAGATCGTCGTACATGAGAATGAGTTCTCAATCGACTCATCCAGTTAAATAAAGGTTAAAATAATAATAATATAACATAGACACGAATACATAGATGTTCTATTGGGCGCTGGAGAGCGTAACAGCATCACTGCCATATTGGATTGGTTCCTTAATCTCCAACCAAAGTGGAGTCAACACAGGGTGGGTTATTTTTTCAACCAACGTTCTATTGAGAACAGATCATGTGGGATTAATATTCACTTCTAGCCTAAGTTTTCAGATTTAACATCTTAATTTATTTAATGATATTTATATTTTAACACCATACCATATGTCTGATTTTGCAAAAATCATAATGAAATGTTTTTTTTAGTTTGGTAAACACCTTCCTCAGTAGAAATAAATGCCCTGATGGTGAATGGAGACCCATCCATGATGGCGGCCAGACTCCACGGCAGCGCCAGCCCACGCCGCATCTACGTATACGATGTCTGTCCTGCTCCTTCTAATGGCCCCACCCCTTTTAGTTCAGGGTGGCTTGCCAGAAAAGGTTCTGCTGCAGCTGAACTAACAATTTTAGTAAAAATAAAGTATTTGTTTACTTCCATGAAAAAGAGAGGTGGTTCCCATTACAATAAATGGGATTAAATAACGGTCTCAGACATCGGAGACATTGCAAGTCAGAACGTAGTCTCAGTAAGACTAGGTCGCTGAACTCCAATTATTTAACACATTACACTGGTTGTTTGTCAGAAGTTGTGTCTAATCTGTTTTTATTATAAAACCATCCCTGTCCAAGCACCTGTTGGGACGTCCTTCTGAGAGACTGTCTGATGTTCCATGTGATTCTGTTATTTGATGTGCAGAAATCTGCTCTACGTTCCTGTTTTCAGCTTTCTAAGAAGTATGGATCAGTCTTCACCGTCTACTTCGGACCCAACAAAGTGGTGGTTCTGGCGGGATACAGGACGGTGAAGGAGGCTCTAGTTGGCCATGATGAGGAGTTTGGAGACAGAGACTCCCCTCCAATTCTGAGAGATTTTAACAAAGGACACGGTACGCTACTGGAGAATGTGCTAAACATTTCTAGTCTCCACCAGTGTTAAAGTCTTTGGTTTCAGGGGTTTTGTGGTCCAACGGAGACTCGTGGAGAGAGATGAGACGTTTTGCTTTAACCAACCTCAGAGACTTTGGGATGGGGAAGAAGGCGTGTGAAGACAAGATCGTTGAGGAATGTCAGCACCTCACTGAAGTTTTTAGGAATTTCAAAGGTACAAACAATCAGTTTGATTAATGAAGTTCAGCTTTCTGCGTCGTACTACCCTAACTAACTCACAGAAACAAGTAGGAAGGTTTTACTGACTCCCATGTTTGAGATGTTCCATCTAGTATGAACTGTTTGCTGTCCAATGTTACCATAAGAACTCCATAATAATCGGTTTCATTTGCTTATTCAACAATTTAACAGTAATAAAGAAAAAAACAGGTCCTTACCAGCTGTAGGTCCTCCACCAGAAGGCAGTAGACATGGCAGATTTCTGAAAGATTAAGTAAAAAAAGCTTCTTCAATGCAACTATTTAACAAACATACCTGAATTAACTCAAAATACGGATATTATACAGTTTCTGATGAGCAAAGAGGCAGTTTTACCCACAAAACCAAACTCCTGTAGCCCACTAATGACATTGTTTGTGAAATAACACTTTCCTCTGATGACAAATCTGAATGTTTTAAGACCAACAAGCAACATTTTTGATTTTTCTGCTCCAGGAGAAGCTTTTGATTCTCTGAACTCGATAAACTGTTCGGTGTCTAACATCATCTGCTCCATGGTCTACGGCAGCAGGTTCGAGTACGATGATCCAGCCTTTAAGTCCGTGGTGGCTCGAACCAACGCCCTCATCCAGCTCACGGGATCTCCATCTATTGTGGTATCGTGACCTCCCGTCATCAATCGAAGAAATGATTAACGCTTGTAAAATAACTACAGCCTCTGTTATCTTGCAAGATTTACAACATGTTTCCGTGGCTCAAATGGATGGCCAGAAGAAGGGAATTCCATGAAATGGTCGAGGCCAACAAGAACCAGAACTTAGCCCTGTTCCGTCGCATAAAGGAGACACTGAACCCGGAGATGTGCAGAGGGTTTGTGGACGCTTTTCTAGTCCGCAAACAGAAACTGGAGGTTTGTGCTTTTCTGATGAAAGGAACTGAAATTTGATAATTTTGGCCTTTAGCGGGTCCATTCTTCTCATCATGATGTTGAGATAAAAATCACCTGACTTTTTGCATCCATTTTTGTTGCCATAAGGTGTCTATGAAGACTCCAAACGACTCATTGGTTACACGTCGGCCTAGTTTATACTTCTCCGTCTTCGGGACAGAGATACAGAATGTGAGACGTGCACAATGTATTAACCCTCCCACTGTCTTTATGAGGTCCACGTGGCAGGGGGTGAGGTGGTGCTCACTCCTCACCCATGCCACGTGGACCCAAGGGATAAACCATCAAACCCTGCTCAATGGCCAACTTTCCTCACTGGGTCACACCCGTTAGGACAGTGGGAGGGTTAAACTGTGCATTGAAAGCTTCCTAGAGCACGCCTGTGATTGGTCAGGATGACCTTCATATTTGTCTCATTGTGACGTGGCAATGATCGCCATATTTGTAGGAATCTGGAAATAAAAACAGTCACTTCCACGATACAAACCTCATAATGACGGTCACGAACCTGTTCAACGCTGGAACGGAAACAACGTCCACCACGCTGAGATGGGGACTTCTCTTCATGGCTAAATATCCAAAGATACAAGGTAAAACAACCAACAACCCTAATGTATCCGACAGGAATGTGATCCAGTTTAAAATGTTTAAAAAATAACTCACCCTGTTTGTGATGAAGACCAGGTCCAGGAGGAGGTGAAGAGGGTCATAGGAGATCGGCAGGTGCAGGTGGCCGACAGGAAGTTCCTGCCATTCACCGACGCCGTCATACATGAGACACAACGACTGGCCAGCATCGTGCCACTGTCACTTCCTCACAAAACCAGTAAAGACATCAACTTTCAAGGTTATTTCATCAAGAAGGTGAGACCTACAGGGCAAAAAGATGAATACCTTCTGTCCCTATGCAGTTCAATTTAGAGGTGTTAGCCCTTATTTAGCTAGGGGGTGGGTGGGCCTGGCCAGCAACAGCCCTGAAACAACTCCTCTTCTCTTTGCCATATACACCACCTCACTGGGTGAGATCATTCGATCACATGGCTTCTCCAAACCACTGCTATGCAGACGACACCCAGCTCTATCTGTCATTTCCACCGGACGACCACACTGTCTCTGCACGAATATCAAACTGTCTCTCTGACATATCAAAATGGATGAAATCCCACCATCTCCAACTCAACCTCTCTAAAACTGAATTACTTGTCATCCCAGCAAAACCATCCATACAGCACAATATCTCAATCCAAAATGACTTCCTATCTCTGGCTCCTTCAAAGACAGTACGAAATCTGGGTGTTGTGATTGATGAACACCTGACCTTTAAAGATCATGTTGCCTCTGTTGCTCGTTCATGCCGCTTTGCGCTGCATAACATATGAAAGATCAGACCATACCTAACACAACATGCCACCCAGCTCCTGGTGCAATCTACTGTCATCTCCCGCCTCGATTACTGCAATGCCCTTCTAACTGGTCTTCCAGCCTGGACTGTGAGACCTCTTCAAATGGTCCAGAATGCAGCGGCGCGTGTGGTCTTCAATCAGCCAAAAAGAGCACACATCACCCCTCTGTTCATTGAGCTCCACTGGCTACCGCTAGCAGCACGCATCAAATTCAAATTGCTAACACTAGCATACAAAGTCTGAGATGGTACGTCTCCCATCTACCTGAATCCTCTTGCAACGGCTTACGTCTCGGCCCGGCCGCTCCGGTCATCACAGGATTGTCGGCTAGCAGTGCCTACACCACGCTCAGGACAATCCAGACTCTTCTCATGCATTGTTCCACAAATGTGGAATGAACTTCCAAGCACTACCAGAACAGGGGCTTCCTTTTCAATTTTCAAGAAACTCCTGAAGACCCTGCTCTTCAGAGAGCATCTTCTAAACTAGCACCCTCCCTGCACCCGTCCCCCCTCTCTACTGTCCACTCCTTGTTCCCACCTCTCCATGATTGATGTCAAGTTGTTGTTATTGTTGTTGTTAGCCTCAAGGGCAACATGCCGATTATCGCTTGTAAGTCGCTTTGGACAAAAGCGTCTGCTGAATACATAAACATAAACATAAACTCATTCTGGAAGGTACTGAAACTGTCTGAACTGCTGAGATGGCTGCATGTGAGAAGGGTTTAGTGCAAAACACATCAGCATGTCTTATATCGACCGTAGAACTATTATAACTAGTTTAAGAGGTATACTCTGCTCCCTTTAAGTTCGTTTGTGATTTATGTTTTTTACAGGGAACCACCGTTTATCCTCTCCTGACTTCCGTCCTGCACGATCCCACTGAGTGGGAGAAACCACACACCTTCCATCCTGCTCACTTCCTGGACAAAGAGGGAAAATTTGTCAAGCGAGACGCCTTCATGCCCTTTTCTGCTGGTTTGTATCGCGTCTCTGTTTGAGCTAAATTTAACTAACGAGGTGTCCAAACCTTTCCCAGCAAGAGTTGGACTCTGCCAAGGCTGCCCTTTGTCATCGATTGTAACATTTCTAGGTGCAGCCGAGGTGTTGAGGGGATCCGTTTTGGTGGCTTAAGGATCGAGTCTCTGCTTTTTGCAGATGATGTGGTCCTGTGGTCCTGTTGGCTTCATCAGAACATGATCTCCAGCTCTCGCTGGAGCTGTTCGTAGCCAAGTGTGAAGCAGCTGGGATGAGAATCATCTCCTCCAAATCCGAAAGGGTAGAATGCCTTCTCCGGGTCAGAGATGAGGTCCTGCCCCAAGTGGAGGAGTTTAAGTAACTTGGGGTCTTGTTCACAAGTGAGGGAAAGATGAAGCACGAGATCGGTTGTACCGGTCTTTTGTGGTGAAGAGAAAGCTGAGCCAGAAGGTGAAGCTCTCGATTTACCGGTCAATCTACGTTCCTACCCTCACCTATGGTCATGAGCTTTGGGTAGCGACCAAAAGAACGAGATCGCAGATACAAGCGGCCGAAATGAGTTTTCTCCGCAGGGTGTCTGGGATCTCCCCTTAGAGATAGGGTGAGAAGCTCAGTCATGCAGGAGGAGCTCGGAGTAGTCCCGTTGCTCCTCCACATTGAGAGGAGCCAGTTGAGGTGGCTCGGAGATCTGGTCAGGATGCCCTCTGGACGCCTCCCTGGTGAGGTTTTTCAGACACGTCCAACCGGAAGGAGGCCTAAAGGAAGACCCAGGACACGGCGGAGGGACTATGTCTCTCACCTAACATCCAATTACTGCACTGTGTTAAATAAGAAAAAAGAAGATGATTGTAAATCAACGCACAGAACTAATATACAGAAGGGACTATGTCTCTCAACTGGCCAGGGAATGCCTCAGGGTTCCCCCGGATGAGCTGGCCAAGTGGCTGGGGAGAGGGAAGGCTGGGCCCGCGACCCGACTCCAGAAAAGCAGAAGAGGATGGATGGATGGATAGGTGTCCTAACTATTCATCGTTTCCTCCTGCAGGTCGTAGGATTTGTCTGGGAGAGAGTCTGGCCAGGATGGAGCTCTTCATCTTCTTCATCACCCTCCTGCAGCGTTTCCGGTTCACTCCTCCTCCTGGAGTTTCAGAGGAGGACCTGGATCTGAGTCCGTGTGGCGGGATCACTCTCGGCCCTTCACCTCACAAACTGTGTGCCGTTTCTCGTATGTGAGGAAGAGGAGGCAACCTTTGAAAAGCTGTGTGGATCATAGCAGAACATAATATTTCAGCCACAGAACTTTTTAAAAAAATCATGTTTTCACCCATAATGATCTTTAGTCGGTAAAATGCTGACAGTACCTAGTGCCATACACCAGTTTAATGGACCATCTCTAACTATTTGACAATAAGACTCCATCTGTGAGGTTAACTCATCTCCATTACCAGGTACAAATAAAGACATAAAACCCAACTGGTGTGTTGAACCCAAACATACCTAAATGAATGAATGAGGTGAGTGATGAATGAATGAGGTGAGGACCTCTAGTGGGTGAAGGGGAGAATGAACAGAAGGGTCACAAAGTAATCAGTTAGAATGTAAGATCATATAAAAGTTTCCATTTAACAGTTTAGATATTTACAGCAAAGGTATTCTGGAAATCTTTAGCTGAGCTGAGCGCTGACACACGGCTGCAGGGAGGCTGAAACCCCACAAACACTCCAGACTCTGCTACGATCTCGTCAACCGTCAGCAGGTTTAAAAGTGTGGGAAACTAGTTTAATCAATGCATTTGCAGCGGTCTCTGGTAGGAATAATGTCTTGCAAATCGTACTCGGGCCAACATAAACCCAGAAACACCCGGATGAGCACGGACAAGCCTGCCACATCAGAGGAGAACTTAAAACGGCAGATTTTGGAGTTTTATTTCCTGATGTTTGGACATCTCTCCTCTGATTGGCTAACAGCAACACGACGTTGCCACTGACTCTGGTTGCTCTGCAACATTGATGTTTTTTCTCCACTAATAACACAAGCCTGGAGGAATTCTGCTGTGTTGTGGAGTTGCTAATGCTAACAATTAGCTTCTGCTAGCTGAGACGTTCTCTGATGTTTCCTGGTCGCTAAAACAACAACAGCCTTCCCCGTCGTGAATGAAGATGGGTGAGTCCATGCAGGCACGCAGATAGGGTGGGGGACGGGGGGGGGGGGGGTCCCCCCAGATTCTGATCGACCCCGATCCGTCCCCCCCAACTAAGGCCAGAAAGAAAACAAAATCGGAGGTTAAGAGCTTGAAGCTCCTTTTACCAATTACTTTGAATGCAGCATGACAACGGTCGGAGCATATGCCATGGGAAAGTGTTCAGGGGACTGATTTCACTGTTGCACACTAACACCACAGCTTGTGTGAAAAGAAAAGTGGGATAGTGGTGGAGTGTTTACCCTGGGACTGGGAGATCAGTGTCACTCATCTGTAAGGGGTTGGGAGGTTAAACCACCAAATAGTTCCCGAGCGCAGCCACTGCTGCAGCTCACCGTTCCCCATGGGGATGGATCCCATGCAGAGATGTAATTTCACCAGTGTGTGATGAGGACTAATGGGACTTTAACTTTAAACATTTAGCATGCTGACTGCGAAGCAAGCAGAGGTAACTGGGCCAAAAATGCATCATCATATGTGTCTATCATATCACACGGTAACTGTGCGTAGTTAACACGGTAACTGTGCGTAGTTAACACTGTAACTGTGCGTAGTTAACACGGTAACTGTGCGTAGTTAACATGGTAACTGTGCGTAGTTAACACGGTAACTGTGCGTAGTTAACACGGTAACTGCGATTGACATGTTGGGAAACGGTGACTTCTCACGAGAGAATAATTCACAGCTACACCAGACAACAGAGGAGTTATCCACCTAAAAAGATAACAAGGTCTATAATTGTCATCACAGGTATGGTAAATGTCCTGGATGCCTTCTAGGGTTCTAAACCCCCAAAACCACCCATGCCCACACACATTCATACGCTGGTGGTGAGGAGCTACAATGCGGCCCCAGCTGCCCAGGTGGCTCATTGAGAGGTGAGGCTACCACCGGTCTCTCTGACCACCACCAACAGACAAGAAGAGGAAGTGTCTTGCCAAAGGACACAATGACTGCGACAGACTGAACGGGGCGCAAACCTTTAACCTTGTTTGAGGGGCAGGCACCCAACTCCTCTACCATTGTTGCCCATAAACCTGAAAACATAGATGTGTCATTGGGTGCTGGGAAGTGTAACAGCATCGCTGCCATTTTGGGTGGGTTCCTCAATCTCCAAGCCCCCAGGGCAGGCAAATAACGGTTGCAACAACTGGCACATTGAAAACAGATCTCGTGGGATTATTATTCAATATTAAAACCGAATGATATTATTATTCACTGTTTTATTTACTTTTTTTGTTCTTTAATTATATTTATGCTTTACTTATCATGCCATGCCATTTGTCTGATTTTGTTAAAAATCATAATAAAATGTGTTATCTGGTTGGGTGAACAGCACCTGGACAGGTCAGTGAACACTGTAATATTCAAACCAACCACCTGCAGATAGTTAACCTTCCTGTTAGGCGGCGGGTCAAGTTGACCTCATTTTAAAGATTAAGAAAACGATCATTAACCCAGGAGACTGTAATGTTTAAAGTGATGTTTCTTTATATAAACAAGCAACTTTAAGATGTTTGACCTGCAGGTCTGACTGTGTGTTTGGAGTTTCAGGCGTTAAAGGGTTCCAATGGAGCATGCCTAGACCAAACTTTTCAAAGCAAGAATTTGGTCTAGTTCACTAGGCTAGCAGACGACAATAACAGTGCTTAAACAAAGCTTGACTTCATTATAAAACTCATATGTCTGGACTTCCGCCCTCTTCAGGAAACTCACTTAAACATGAAACTTTAAACCCTGGAGTGTTTGGACTTTGGGCAGCATATGCAGCAAAGATGTGCAATAAATGATCTGGGTGGTACAGTTTGGGTAAATCAGCTTTCTGGTGCAGTTGCAGTAGTCTGCATATTGTTATTATTTTTTTTTTTCTTGGGGCGGGGGGCGGGGGTGGGGGTGGGGGGGGGGGGGGTGGGGGGGAATGGATCGCAGCCTCCGCCCAGAGGGAAGAGGCTCAATTAGGATGTGTTTACAGTGAGAGGGGTCAGCCTTAAGGGTCTTGAGGTATACAGGTCATGTAGGGAGGGCAGGTGCAGCCAATAACCGTCTCTGCAGAATGAGTGATGCACTCAGTGACTCCTCTGAGATCCTGTCTGCACCGTTGTCCAACCTCAACTTCAAACAGGACACTGAGTGTTAGTGTGGGCCATTAAAAGCTTTCAAACCCAATTTTCCTTTTGTTTTTCTCTTTAAGTAATTCAGGTTAAAGCTGCAAATTTAGACTTAAAGGGATCAAAACCGGTCCGTCTAGTTACGTCCACTTATCTGGGTCTAGGTCATGGGGGCAGCAACTCCAGAAGAGAGGCCCAAATCATCATCTCCCCAGCAACCTCCACCAGCCTTAACCAGGGGATCGGCATTCCTCTGCTAGTTTGGAGATGCAATCCCTCCAGCGTGTTCTGGGTCAACCTGGGAGCCTCCTGCCTGCATTACATGTGTAACACCTCCTCTGGGAGGCGGCCTGGAGGAATTTTTACAAAATTCCTGAACCACCTTAGCTGACTCCTCTTGATGCCGAGGAGCAGCGTCTCTCCTGGATATATATATATATATATATATATATATATATATATATATATATATATATATATATATATATATATACCCGAGCAATCAATCTGCGTATTTCCAGTAGAACACGTTTGCTGAAGGATTCAAAAGGATCTGCCTGAATCACACTTTCATTTTCCTCATACTCGACTCACGTGACCAGGCGCAAATGTTCACGTAAACAACGCAATTGCGTCATATGCAAATTAGAACGTTGCGACCTCTAGTAACCTCTGGGCCAGCGGCAGATCAGAACACTTCATAGAAGCACGTGATCATAAGCTTTGATACGTCATACACAGAACGTCACTTCACACTACAAGTCATTGTTAGTCAGAGCACTCGACCGATCAGACGCGATTTTAAAATGCAACACGATATGGATGAATACAACCGGGAGTTGAGAAACAAAAGTCAAAATGAGAGAGAAATCCAGAAATTGGAAGATGAAAATTCAGCATTTGGAGAAAAATCTGCTTCTGAGCATAAAAAACGAGAAGCCGGGCATGCAGAAAACTCAGAACTCAAGCACATCAGAAGGCTGCAGAAAATTGAGGATGATTTAAAACAAGAAAGGGATGAAGCTTTTGTGTTAAGATCTTTAAATCCAGAGACGAGAAGAATAATGAATTTATTTCCCAGGGTGGTACCGATCTCTCAACCAAAAGATGCTGCTGTAAAGAAAAAGGTTAGAGATTAATTGAGTTGGTTACGGGAATAAGAGGGTTAATCCCACGGTGGGGGGTATCATTTTTAAACACAGATGAGGGGAAATTGTCGAAGGGGCATGCTAGCTCAGGCAAATAAACACGAACTAAACTTTCTAGAGTCACGGGTCGGGTTGGGGTTGGGATGGATAAGGCTGAAAGAGAGATGCTAGATCTACAGGATAAAATATGAATGGATTATTTAGTTAGATTAAGTCCTTGGGAAACTGTTTTAGGAAGGCGAAGAGTAAAGGGTGACAGCACCGTGTCAAACTTAGAGGTTGCTTTGTGTTGTAGTGAACCAAACCAGAAATGCTTTAGCCACTGTGAGGTGAATATTCACCTCACAGTGGCTAAAGCTTATTTGGCTGCAAACCGATCCAGAGAAAGCTGGAGATCACGGTCTGATGAAGTCAACAGAACAAGGTCATCTGCAAAAAGCAAAAGCTTAATCCTTAGGACATTTCTTAATTCAACAAACAAAATAAGCCAAACTGAGAGAGAAATCCAGAAATTGGAAGAAGAAATTTCAGCGTTTAGAGAAAAATCTGCTTTTGGGTATAAAAAACGAGAAGCCGAGCATGCAGAAAATATGCGACAGAGAGGCTTGAAACATGATGCAAATATGAAAACCCTCCATCAAAAGATTTCTGCTCAAAATAAACTCATTTTAGAGAATGACAGTCGAATAGCAGCGCTCAGATGGGAAAATGAAAACCTGAGTATTTACAGAAGATTAAATGGAAAACTCGATTTTGACACAAAAAATCTTGAGCGACATCTGAGTAGAGCTGAGATTGATAGACAAATGAAGATCAGCCAGTTACATAAAATGAATCAGCTAGCTTTGAAGGGCGCCCCAGCACAAAGTAATGATGAAAACGGTCTGCATTGGAAAAAGATAATGCCGGATGTAATATTTTAATTCAAGAAAAGATGCGTTTCTAACACCAGCTGAAAGCTCATTCAGAGAGTAACGGTTTAGGTTTTCCCTTAGTTCATAAACCTTGTGACCCAAT